TCAAAGCCCAAAAACCTCTTGATAGAAGCAGTTTTATTAGAAGCAATCAAAGGTTCCATCAAAACAAGCATTTGAATACCATGAATCATACACAAGTTTTTGACTCTATCCTTGGATAGAGAGCCACCCACACCTCTAATATTCCATAAGAGAGCTTTAACCATTAATAGAATGGGTAGAAGATCTAGTGATTCTAGGGGTACTGTTAGAAATGCACTTAGGATTCTTACCTTTCTTTTCAGAATGAGAATTGTTCCCAATTTCAATAATTTTGTTTTTCTCTTTGGATGGAGACATAGACTTGGACGAATCCTTTAATTCTTCCATAGGAATCCATATTTCAATGTTACCCCCTTCACCAACTTCACCTTCCTCCAAATCACAATTAGAAACCCTATTACCAATAAAATGTTTAGAAGAAGAACTTTCACTCCCACTAATATAGTCTTCCTTTTTATGATGAATACTATCATCTTCAATCCCCATATTATCCACATCAATTTCCCCGTTCTTTAAAAGAGCCCTTTCTTGGTTAACAGCTATGTTCAAAGTGTTTAAAACTTCCTCCAAATTATAACCACTAGTTTCCACACCCATTCATTTATCTTTTAATATTCCACTTTTAAAACCTTCCTCACAAATCCTTAAGGAAAAATCAGAATATTGACCAACTATGTAATTATTAGCTTGCATGGGAACCTTATCTTATAAAATAATGTCATCATCAGAGGATTTGATAACATCAGAATTCAAGTCACGTTCAGGAGGAATCAGAACATCAACCTTTTTGGAAACCTTGCTATTAACCCTCAGATTTGGGTGAGCCACAAAACAATCCGCAATCGAATGGCCATGAATTTTGCAATGAGCACAAAAATCCGGAACATTTTCAAATTCCACTTTTTGCATATAACCCGCATTCCTAGAACCAATCCAGACCTCTTTCGGATGTTTTTTAGTTATATCCATTTCAACCAAGATTTTAGTGATAGAGGGGCGAGAACGAGATGCCGTAGCTTGATCCGTTTGAAGGGGTCTCCCAAATATAGTACCAAGAGCATGTAAAACATTAGCATTAAAAAAATGCAATCTAAGATTAGGAAAAGAAATCCATATTGGAACAATTGGCTACTCTTCCTTAACGTCAAAAAAGGCGTCCATTTAAGAAGCTGCATTTGGCAGTTAAGAATATAATACGCACGGCGGGCAAAAACACGACTATAGTCCAAATCGTTTGAGAGCTATATAGAAACATGCCTATCATCTAACATTCCAATGGAGAAATTACCAGAAAGTTTCAGTTTACCAAAGAAGTTACGAATAGCATCTAGATTGGGTCGGCGGACAGTAAATTTCCCTACAAGTGTGAACTGGTAGGGTAGAGCAAGTTTGAGAATGTCCTCATCCGACATCAGTAAGCAGGGACACCTTTAACCGTGGATTTAGTAAGAGATAAGCTAGGGTTGAAAGAAGTTACCGATCCAGCTAAAACATCGCGGAAAGAACGAGAAGAAGTAGCGGGGATACCATTAACCAGCAGCCCTTTGGATGAAACAACAGAACCCGGAGGCGGACCACCCCAAGCGTCGGGATGAGCAGATGAGGCCATATCCTTACAGAGAAAGGAAAAAGACCAAGGGCCGGGGGGCCCCCTAAGCGAAAGGAAGCGATCCAGCCACAAAAAGGCTTGCGAGACCACACCAAAGTAGCGGAAAAGAGTAGGGAAAACAAGAACAGAGGAGGCGCTCGAAAATCGCCAGAGCTCGGGAGGCGGCTAGGGTTTCTATCTCATAATTTACTTTGATGTTAAATAAGATTTTGTTTGGAACAACTTTCATACTATTTTATAAGCAGTTTTTTAATATAATTTTTTTTTGAAATTGTCCTTCTAAGTCTTGGGTCTTAACAAAGATAAATCTAGCAAGTGAAGTTGAAAATGAATGCCCTTTGTTAAGCATATCATAATTTTGGAGGTCGTAGAAAATGATTGGGATGAGTCGAGAAATTGAACATTTTTATCCTCACTATGAAAGGGTAATTTAAATTAGTCGAGAAAGAAAGATAATAAGGTTATTTTCTTATCTATCAACAAACATATGATAATGGCATTGAGAGGCTTTGAAGGGCTATCTCTGTCAACAAATGTGGGAGTAGTTTCAAATCTCTTAAAAGGGAAAAGAAATGAAAAAGTGTACTTTTAAGCTTTGGGATGATGAATGAAATTGAGTTAATTTTGACAATTTTTAAAAGTTTTAGCAATTCTAATCAATTTAACATAAATAGTGAGAAAATTTGATATTTAGCAATCATGGAATATATTCTTTGATCGTTAGATCTGACTTCAATTGCATTATTACTATCAGCAAAGAAATCAAAGATGTAGAGGACATGAAGATGGAGTAACTGTAGAGTTTGTTGTAACCATATGTAGAAATAAGAGATTGTTAAATAACCCCAAAAGACTAATGTCCATTTAAATAGAGATTTTTTTTTAACTTTTTTTTTTTCATTTAAAAAGAGATTTTTTTTTTTCACGAGCTCTCTGTTAGGGTTTTTCCTTACCCGTCTCACCTTGTCGGAGGGGTTCACCTTTTGGTCGCAGACTGACTCTCTCGCTGAGGAAAGTTTTCTCTTACCTTAACCATTCTTCTCCTATTCATTTTTTATGTTTTTCAACTTTCTTGGCTTAACCTGTTTTCATTTCCTTGATCTTTCCACCTTGCTTTTCAAATGGAGGTTAATTAAGTGAAATTGGTCGATCCTAACTTTTTAAACAGTAAATCTAATTATATATCGTTTCTTGATGATCTCTCGGAGGCTTCTTCTTCGTTGCCTTTTCGATATCTCAAAACTTCAACTTTTCGAGGGATGACGTCACATTGGATTTTGGAAGATGAGATTCTGACACTTGAAATCCCTTTTGAATTCGCTTTGGTTGGAAAGTTTCTTAATCAAAGGCATGCTCTATATTCAATTAAAAAATTCTTCTTTAATCTAAAACTTTTCTGTGAGTTCTCGGTTACCTTTTTGGATCCAAGGCATGTGTTGATAACATTGAATAATTATATGGATTATTACAGACTTTTTGCTCATCCTTCATATTTGTTATAAATTGATTAAATGGTCTTCTTTCTTCGATGTCTCTTAGGAATTGCCCATTATTTTGATTTGGACCTCCTTCCCAAATTTTGCTTGCATTTGTTCGCTCTCTGTATCCTGCACGGGCTTTGTTCGCTATTTGGTCATCCCCTTCATACTGATAACGCTAATTCGATTAGATGTTGTCCCTTGATTGGTCGAGTGTTGGTGGAAGTGATATCAATAAATAAAATCCTAATAGTGTTTGGATTGGGCTCATAAAAATTTGGCTATATTCAAAATATTATGATGGAGGAATTTCATTTCTTTTGTGATCATTGCAAACCGTTGGACCATTTTAAAATGGAATATGTTAGCCTTCATCCTTATTTAGCTAAGGAATTAACTATTATTCATAAACCAACGACCGTTGTTGCTAAGGAAACCTCTTGGTTAACTCCTGTTGTTGATGCCCATGACTTGTCTACCTCTCATGTTGTTGTTGTAGATGTTGGATATGCTATGGTTGTTTCTCCTACTTTAGTTTCTATTTCTATTGATCCTGATGTGTCGTTAAACTTGTTTGTTAGTGTGAATGATGTTGGGGATCATATTATTGAACATGAAAAGCATTATTATCCTATGGATGTATATGGTTATTCTGATGTTTCTAATAAGGATCCTATCATTAACATTTTTTGTTCTCCTTTATCTGATGATGCCTTGGTCTCTTTAGGATAGGAGAAGTAGCATTTGAATGGCTCTTCTGCTAGCGTTTCTTTTGATAATATCGACTGGTTGTATGATTCATTAGGTGTTGTGAGGAATGTTGGGGAAGTGAGCGTTAGTAGTTGTCATGATTTGCAAGTGGATGTTAATTTGGATGTGGTGAAAGTTAATAATGAGGGCTTTACTACTATGTCTGGTAAAAAAAAAGTAAAAAATTCTAAAAGTAAAAAGGTGGTGCAAAACTTCAAATACACTGTTGCAAATTCTTCTCCTTCTAAAGCTCCTCTTGAACCTTCTCTGAATGTTTAGTCTCTTTTGGATTTCTTTTTTCTGGGGTGTAGTGTTTCTTCCTTTCGTGTATTGGTTGGTTGTTTCTTTGTTACTGTGGTTGGGTTCTCTGGTCTTTATGGCCTTTTTTAAGTCTCTGGCTTTGGAATTGGTTCTTGGGCTTTTTTTGTTGGTGGTGGCTGTTCCTGGGTTCTGCCTTGGGTGGTGAGTGGCTGTTTTAATCCCTGTTGTGTGAGGTTAGCTTGTTTGGTGTTGGTGGTTGTTCCTAGGTTGTGGCATGGGTGGTGAGTGGCTGTCATGTTCCCTATTGTGAGAGGTTGGCTGGGGGTGGTGTGGTGTTTCTTCTCTTACAAGTTTTGCTGGATGGAAGTTTTAGCTTATTGGCTCTTATGATGGTGTTACTTTTTGGTTCTCATTCAGGTAACGTGCGTCATTTTTTCTTTTTACTATTATTTGTTTGGTTCCTTCTGTTTATAGGTTTCTTTCCTTTTGTTGGTCGTCTCTTGGCTTATTCATGATTTGGCTGGTTTGTGATCTTTCCTTGTGGGCTTCATTGAAGATCTTTCTTAGGCATTTTTTGAGGGTTGGCTTCTTATCTCCATGGTTTTTCCTTTTGCTTATTGTAGTTAGATATATATAGGATCATTGGCTCATTAGGATTTCTTTTGGTTTTAGATGTATTTCCTTTTTGGCTGTAGAGAGCATTTGATCCTATAAGGATTTGTAATCTTTTTCTTATTCAATGTATAAACCCCTCTATGAGTTTTATTTATTTATTTTTTAAAGATGAAAGATTCGATAATAGTTGAAGCAAATGTAGAAGAAACCATGGGCATGGATGTAGTTGTTGTCTTAAACGAGATTAGAGTTCTACTAATAAGTCCTCCACTTCAATAAAAATAATAACAACAATGGGAAAGGAGAAAGATCCAAATGAAGTTGTGGTAGAAGATTTTAAATTCAAGACAAGTTTAAATCTCAAATTAAAATTTTTAACTGTAACAAGCTTTTAAGACATTTTAAATAATGTAGAGAACCTAATAAGAAAAGTCCATGAAAAAGTCAATTATATATTAGAAAAAGAAAATGAAAAAAGAAATATGCATTAGCTTACAATAATAATAATGAAGGTTAAGGAATTATATGGTACATTGAGATTGGTGCAAACAACTTATACATCGATAAAGAAGCATATTCCAAAGCTCAACAAGTTTGTAAGTATTAATGTCTCTTATGGAGTTGATTTCAAAATACTGGTAAAAATAACATATATCATCCATATTCATACAAAACATTAAAGTCATTAATTTACTTTAAAATGTTTATGAAGTGCATACTATAGAAAGTAATATTTTGAGCATTTGTTGGCTCTTAAATTAAGAAGGGGTATATTATTTAAATTATAAATTAAAATTTATTTTACTAGAGATGATAACAAATTAAACTAACAAGTTGAAAATATCAAGTAATAGAATGTTTTCATTTAATATTCAAATTATCTTGTAGAATGCCTTTAGACATGGTATATGATGCTTCTTTACTTTGATATCTCCATTTAAAGCTTCTCAATTTTAGAGAAATATAGTTGTTATCAAAAAGGAGGATAGTAGAAGATTTATCTTTCATCAATCACTTAGATTTACTTTTTGAAGGATGTTGATTTTGGAATCAATTCAAAAAGTATTTTCCAAAAGAGCTAATTTCAAGAGCTTAGAAGCCACTTAAGCTTACATATACATATTTGTGTGGACTAATTAAACCCAATTCATTTAATAGAATTAACTACCTTTATTTCTAATTAAAAGGGTTTTGGCCATAGTAATATACTCTATAGCTTCTAACTTAAAGTAATTAGATACCAATTACTATGATAAATTTATACACCTTCACATAAATAAAATATTTATATTAAGCTTATTGCCCACCTTCTATTTATAATTGGCTTTGCATGCACCTTATATATTTATATTTATCCTCTATCATCTTAATATAAAAATATGAGATATATTTCTATTCTAAAAAAAAAAAAACGCCATTCTCCTCATAAACAATTTTCCATGAAAAATATGGGCATATTTTTCTAATTATAAATAAAAAATTTTGTAACATTCAAGAATTTCAAGGCCATTGTGGAGAAAGAAAGCATTCTTTGAGTCAAATCATGAAATCTAATTGGCGATAAGAGTTAAAAAAAAAATCATACACTCAAGCAAGACATGAAGTATGCTCAATAGCAAAAAAAAAAAAAAAAGAGCAAATTTTGGTCTGAGCTATGACATATGTAATATATCAATCAAATAACTCATTGATATGAAATATGTTCAGAAATACATCAGAACAATTATGAATGGAAGAAAGTCTAACATCTCTCATCTATGAGTTTTTAGAAGCATAACTCATATGTAAAATTTGATGAGCAAAGATTCAAGCAAGATGACAAAAGTGGGAAGTTACTCTTCATTGAAGATGAACTTCATGTTTGATCAAATGGAAAATACAATCCATATCATCTTCCTCTTCTTAGAATCCTTAGATAAAAAAACTTTGAGAGGAACCCTAAATCATATTTTAGATCATATAACTCTCATTATTTGAAACTTTCCTTTCTATCACATTACCCTATTAATCTTCCATGCATCTCACTCTCATATTTTAGTTCTCCACAATAGAAACAAAATTCATCATTTTATTGAAGAATAGAAGCTCAATGCAAGTCTCTCACATTTACTTAAAATAAAATAAAATCCTTAATGAATCCAAAAATAATAGTAATTTATATCCTATTCTTCAAGCAAGGCAGTGCAAACCAAACCCCTCTCTCTCACATCGGCAAGTCATCCTCACGCTCCATCGCCGGCGCGGTCCTCACCGCCGCTGCCGTATACGCCCTCAAATGCCCCACCATCGAAACCCTCAGCGCCTCATTCTCATACGCCAGCCTCTCCATCTCCGCCATTCTTCGCTCCTTCTTCTTACCCTTCACCACCGCGACCACCAACAGCCCAATCAACACCGCCCCCATCGCCCCCGCCGTCGCCGCTGCCACCACCAACTTCCACCTTTTCACGACCTTCTCCATTCCTCTCTCCACCACCAGCCCAAAATGCCCCTGCCCCTTCACCAAGCACACTCTCCCTCTGCCCAAAACCTCGACCTGCCTACCCAACCCAAATACCGCGCATAAAAGCTCTTCCTTTATCTCCGGCACTCCGGCGATCCTCGAGAAGTCTACTTCAATGGGCGCTTTGGAGACCTTCACATCGAGTTCGGTCGAGTTCGATCCAACGGCGTCGTAGATGAGAAGGCCGAGAACAGGGGAGATGAGCTGGTAGCCCGGGAGGGAGTAGAGGGAACCGGAGAGATTGCCGAGGTTTTGATGAACGATGAGGAGACGCTTGGTGTGGGGATGGGCGACGATGCCCGGGGAAAGGTGAAATTCTTTAAAGTCGGCTCCTTGGCGGCGGAGGCGGCCTGCGCGGAAGCGCATTGCGTGGGCGGTAGCCGCGGAGAGGGCGAGTGGCAGGGAGACGGTGTAGGGGACGGCGGTTTTGTGTCGTTTGGGGTATGAATGGAGAGCGGCGGAGTGGATTATGTTATCGATTAGGCGGCGACGGTCTGGGGTGGGAGATGATGCGGTGAGAGAGATGAGGAAGAGGAGGAGGGGGAGGGGGATGAGTTCCATGGAGTTGGAAGCTTGTGTGAACGCATGGAAGTCCTGTTTTTTCTTGTTGATGGAGTTTGGTCATCAATGGGCCAGTGTGGAAAGAAGATAGTGTTGGATGTGATGATTAGGAGAGGTTGAGGATCATAATGGTTATTGAACTCAAGCGGAATGTAGTAATCTAAATCTATAATCGAAGGAAAATAACAAAAATAAAGTTGGATCTTGAATAAATTAAAGTGGCCATTTGGTTTCAAATGCCATATATTTGAATAAATCTAGAAGTTTGGAGAGTAAGTGAAAGGCTCTATGATGAGTGATGTAGGTTGGGTTCTCCATGTTCATTGATGACCTGAGATTATGTTACTCTTCATGGCATTCAAGCCTTTTAGTCACTAGCACCAATCAATGCTCAATAAAACTTTGAGAATGTTAGATCAAAATTTGTTTATTGATGATAATTGACCCTACTAAATGGTGTCCGATGAGTTAGTTAAAAAAACTCAATTATGGAGAGTTAGTTGATAAGCTTCCGAATGCTAATTCAATTACTCCCATCATATCCTAAGTGAGATAACAACACCAGAACATCTAAAATATGCCTATTCATACTTTTTATAGGGTTTAGAAGGCTACATGGAAAACTACATCTAAAAATATATTAAAAAAGCATTGAAATTATTGTTACAAATTAACACTAACACATGAACCAGCTGAATGTCATACACATGAATTCCTGTCATTAAAGTTGCCACCTCCTCTCGAGCGAATGCCTTGGGTGATTCTTCTAGGTTAAGTGTCTTGAGCAAATCTTCACAATCCTGATAGAGCAAATCTGTGAAGGCGAGTCCTTCATATGCAAGGGTGAGTCCCTAGATGTATCATTCAAGCTTTTGGTTGTGAAGGGCTAGACCCTTGGATAGAAATTGTTATGAATTGAGGACTACCTCAATTAAGGAAGTTATAGCCTTGATCTTTTAAGGTGTGTGATTTCTATATCTAAATTGAGAATGTTAGAGGTAGGCGGATGACCTTAACCATGGATATATGGTACAGGTGAACAAGCTCTAGTAAGGTGAGTAGTCTTCAGGGCATGGACTAGTCTTGATCAGTCCTTGGATGGAGGTTGCTGAGAATAATGATGTCTTAATCTGACCTACCAAGATATTTAGGGGTTATTTCATATCACTTTTTATTTTTATTTTAAAAAAAAATATATATTTAAAATATTTTATTTAACATCATTCATCTTTAGTTTTTGAAAGCAAAAGTAAAATGATTTTAAAAATACTCAAAAATAATATTTAGATATTTTTATTTTTTAAATTAAAATCACCTTGGACACTATCACTGGCCATCAGTTACCACTGCCACCAGCAATAAATGCCACTAGCCCTCATCATTTCTTACAATACAACAACAACAACAAGCCTTTATCCCATTATGTAGTGTGGGCTACTTGAATCTTTTTCTTCATTGTATCATATTAAAGCCGAATTATCATTTAAATCTAATAAAAAAGTTCATTTTAAATATTTTCTAACAAAGTAATTTTTGATCTACCTCTACTTTTTTAAACATATGTTGGATCTAATACATCTCTTAACAGAGCCATCAGAGGAACAACATTTTGTGTGACCAAGCTATCTAAAGAGACTCTAATTTTATCTGCCAGTGAAGCTATCTAATATTTTCACGTATATACTCATTTCTCATTCTATCTTTAAGTGTAAAATCATACTCATACACGTGAGCATCCTCACCTTTATAACACTTAATTTTATGCTTCTCCTTTATAACCAATATTTTGCACCATAAATCATTGCAGGTCTCACCAACATCTTATAAAATTTTCTTTTTAAGTTTGAGGAATACTTTTCTATCACACAACAAACACGATGCATTCTGATCAGATCCAACTCGAATTCTACTAATAATATCCTCATCTATTTTACAATATCTTTGAGCAATAGACTTGAGATATCTAAAACACGCTCTCACCGTCATTCATAACGTGTAATAAAAATAGAAACACTTGTTTAAGATATCAAATATATGTATACTTTAACAAAATAAATAAATAAAAAAATAAATAAGACCCCAAACCGCCCTTTAATAGCCGTTATACATCAAATTTGAAATAATAGTGGATTTATCACATAATTACCCTTATGCTTGTAAAAGAAGTTGAGAAAGAATAGAAAAGGTTGCCCAAAGACAGAAGGGTAGAATGATGAGCAAGAGAGGGGATTCACGTGTTAAGCTTCTGCAAAGATAAATTAGTGAACAGAAATAAAAAATGGGGACACAGAGTGGTCGCCCTAATGAGTCTGTCTGTTCTTTTAGCTTTTCTGAGATTTTTTAGGGCTAATGGCGTGTGCTAGAGGAAGGAATGATGGAGGAAGATGATGGAGTGCTCGCTTGCGTTAGACGCCAACGTTGTCCATTGGCATCAAAATTCGCGTGCTTAGACGCTCTCACCCACTATCTTATATTCTATTTGATTATTTGTAGAGCTTTCCGATCATGCTTGTTAGAGCTCATTATGAGGGAAGCTACTTTCCTTAGATATTTATTTTTATAGAAATGGAATTTCTGTTGATTTATTTTTGATAAAATATTCTTATCTTTATGAAATTATGTATTAGAAATGAGCTTATTTTATTTGATTTAAATGAGAATTTGATTATTAATATGACACAATAGAGAAAATTTGATTCATATAGGGATCCCATGTGGTGAGATAAATGCTTAATATTGTTGTTGTATGTGAAACTATAGATAATGATGAAATTACACATTCTAAATTTAAAAATATTTATAAGTAGTTTTTTATAAAATGAAAGTTTTATCTTTATATATTTAAATATTTTTTTTATAAATTATTTAAGTTTTTCATATTTATTTAAAATTTGAGGTAAAATTTTTCATTTGTTTTATTTGAAGTTTTATTTTTTTTTGAGAAAACCTAAAGGTGGGCCTACGTGTTAATTAAAAAAAAAAAAGGATTACAAGTCTTTAAAAGGATCGATAACTCACTACACTCGAAGAGTTACAATAAAAAAAATCTAAGAGTCAAAGATTCTTGACTAATTATAATAGAAAAAAAACAAGAAAAAATAAGGTAGGCAAGAAGCCAAACCCAAAAAATTGGAGCAGCCCAAAAGTTAAGATATTCATTATGCCCAGAAGAAATAACGGGTAACCACAAATGAAGAACTGGAGTAGCCATGAGAATCCTACAGAAAGAAAAAAGCACAACATAAACAAATCTAATATATTACAACTACAAATAATCATACACATATTTGCTAATAAAATTGATGCTATCAGGAAGTTTTTGGGATTTGACAACTCTTTAGGTAATTGCTCCAATAAAATTTGGCTTTTTTGGCATTCTTCTGCTTCTTTAAATATCATGGATGATTTAAATCAAGCTGTTCATATTAGTTTTCCTTTTAATCATACTACTTGCTATGCCTCCTTTATTTATGGCTTCTTGCTCTAGGAATGGTAGAAGAATCCTTTGGAATCAGCTTTCTGATTTTGCTTCCACAGTTAGTGGACCTTGGCTGGTTGGGGGAGATTTTAATTGCATTTCTTCTCCTAATGAAAGGGTTGGGGGTAAGCCTCCTAACTTTAACAATATGGAGGATTTTAATGACATGATTTGCAATTGCAATCTGCATGATATTGGTGTTTCTGACAATTTTTCACTTGTAATAAAGGTGTTATGTGGCAAAGACTTAACCGCATTCTCTTTAATAATTTGTGGATTGACTATTTCTCTACTACTAATGTTACTCACCTTACCCGTTCCCTTTCCGATCACTCTCCATTGCTGTTAAGTTTTTCTAACATTATTACTAATACCTTCTCTCCTTTTAGATTTCAAAACATGTGGCTCCTCGATGCTTCCTTTTTACAGATTGTTAAGGATAATTGGGAGGCTCCCTTGGCTCCTTCGGATAACGTTTCTGGTATGGTTAGATTTTGGTTTAAGCTTAAGAGGATCAAGCAACTTCTTGTTTGGTGGAATAAATATGTTTTTAAGAACATTTTCACTAATATTTTGGAGGTGGAGGATGAGGTGAAAAAAGCTGATGAGATATATATGAATGACTCCCCCCCCAAGACAGAGTATCTATAATGGTGTTACCTCCCCCCCCCCCCCCCCCCCTTTAATTTATCTCTCCTTAATGATGCTAAAATTTCTTTATATAAGCTGCAGGAAAAAGAAGAAGTTTATTGGAGGCAGAAGGCTTCTTCTAAATTTCTTGTGGAAGGTGATCGTAACACAAAATTTTTCCACAACATTGCCAATCACAACAAAATTAGTCGTCAAATTCATAAAATCAGTCATTCTGAGGGGGATATTATTGAAAATCCTGATGCCATTGCCTTTTCTGGGACTGATTTCTTTTCTAAACTTTTTAAATCTAATTTCACTCCTATGTTGGACACTGATTTCTCCTTTATTCCGCCTTTTTTTTGGACAATATTTTACTGACTAAAACACCTTCTATGGTTGAGATTAGGGAGAATTTAAATAGTATGAATGTTGATTCGGTGGCCGGTCCTGATGGTTTCACTAATAAGTTTTTTTAAAAAAACCTGGGACATTATTAAGGAGGATCTCGTTAATGCTGTTTCTGATTTTTTTAGTGGCTCTACTTATCCTAAGTTTTTTACTTCCACTTCTATTGCTCTCATTCCTAAGGCTCAAAATGTTTACTCTTGGAATGATTATAGGCCTATTAGCTTATGTTCTTTAATTTATTTAAAAAATTGATTTCCAAAATTTTAATGGGAAGACTTGCTTCTATTCTTCCTAAGATTATTTCGTTGGAACTGTCAGGTTTTGTTAAAGGTAGATCGATATTTGACAACATTCTTCTTGCGCAGGAATTAATTCATGACTTGGATAAAAGGGTGGTTGGTGGGAATACTATTTTCAAAATGGACATAACCAAAGCCTATGATAACTTGAACTGGGAGTTCCTTTATGCTATTTTACGTTCCTTTGGTTTTAATTCTCAATTTATCAAATTAATCAAACATAGCATTGAATTATGTTATTTTTCCGTTATTATTAATGATAAACCTCATGGTTTTTTTCGTTCTTCTCATGTCCTTAGACAGGGTGATCCCCTATCTCCTGCTCTTTTCATTATAGCTATGGAATTTTTATCTCGTGGCCTGAACCAGTTCTTTAGAATGAATCCTAGTTTGTATTTTCGGTCTTGCGGTGTTTTGTCTCTTACTCACCTAAGTTTTGCTGATGATTTCATTATTTTTGTGAATGACTCTATTCGTAATATTCGAAACCTCTTTAGTTTTCTTGATAATTTCCAGAAGACTAGTGGGTTAACCTTTAATAAAGCCAAAAGCTCATTTTTTACTGCTAAATCGATTCCTATTTCTCATATTCGCAATATTGAAAGGAAAACAGGTTTAATGATAAAGTCTTTACCGATGAAATACTTAGGCACCCCTTTATTCAAAGGTCGTAAACGATCATTTTTATTCGATGATATTTTCAACACTATCCAAAAGAAACTAAACTCTTGGGCTTTTAATTATTTATCTTATGGTGGTAGACTTGTGTTGATTAAACATGTTCTCTGTTCCATCCCTATTTATTTGCTTCACACCGTGGTTCCGACTATTAATGTTTCTAAGAGGTTGGAGGTTCTCTTCAACAAATTTCTTTGGGGTTCCAAGGCCGATTATAAGGCTATCTTATGGGGGTCTTGGAAGAATTGCTCTGGGGCTTTGGATGAGGGCAAACTTGGCTTTAAAATTGTTCAAGAGATGGCTCATACTTTTAATTTTAAACTTTGGTTCAATTTTAGGGCTAAGAAGAGTATGTGGGCTAAATTTATGTTTTCTAAATACTGTGGGGCGAAACATCCGTTAAATTGTGCCTTCAAGTTGGGTGATTCTCCTAACTGGAAAAGATTATGCAATATTGAGTGGGAAGCTGAGGATCTTATCCAATGGGGTTTAGGTTGTGGCAATATTTACTTTTGGCAAGATAAGTGGTTGGGTAATTTTTCTATCAATAATCTTTTAAATACCCGCTCTACTTCGTTTTGCAAAGTTAAGGAATTTTTTATTGATGATAATTGGAATATGAATTTACTTCATAATTTATTACCTAATTTCATTATCAAATTAATTATGGGTATTACTATTCATTCCAATGTGGAAGATTGCATTATGTCTACCTGTTCTAATGATGGCCATTTTAATTCCAAACATGTTTGGAATTTTATCAAGTATCCTATGCCTACTAACTTCATTAATGTTGTTTTTTGGCATAATATCATTCCTACTACTTACTCTTTTTTGGTGTGGAGAATTTTGCACAACCATCTGCCTGTGGACACTTTACTTATTAAGAAAGGTTTCTTTATTGTGTCTAAATGTCAATGCTGCTATCACAGTGAAAGCTTACTTCATGTTTTCTTTCAAGGACCCATTGCGATGAAAGTTTACTTTGATAATCTCTTTAAAGCTTTTCATACCTTTAGTTGCACCTCTATGAATGATGTTCTTGCCGGTTGGTTCATTAATATTAAAGGTCACATTCGTAATATTATTCCTGTTTTGATTTGTTGGTATATATGGGATAGTAGAAATGCCTCTAAACATGTTAATGTTAGAATGAATGTGAATTCTATCATTTCTAAAATTAAGCAAAAAATTATTCAATTTTTTGTGGCTAAGCTCCTCAATAAAGACTCTTTCAAGGGGTACCATCATTTGATTAATGAGTTTGGTTTGAGTTTTCTTTCTCCTATTACTGTGCCTAACAATAGAATCATTTATTGGGAAAAACCTTTGGAGGGGTGCTTTAAACTTAATACCGATGGCTCTTTTAGTCCTTCTGGTGCTGGGTGTGGTGGCATTATTAGGAATAATAAAGGTTATATCATCAAGGCTTTTGCGGGTCCTTCCAATGCTATTAATGCTATTCAGGCTGAGCTGGAAAGTTTGCTTTACAGTATTAAGCTCTGTATTTCCATAGGTATGGCTAATATTTGGGTGGAGGTGGATGCTATGCTTATTATTCACTATATCAAAGGTCAACACTCTGCTAATGCTGACAATTTCTATAAAATTAGGGATATCAAGCATTTATTGTCCCTTTCCTCCTTTAATATTACGCATATTTTAAGGGAAGGCAATGCGGTGACTGATTTCCTTGCCAAAAGGGAATGTAATCTTCTTAACTTTGAGGAGTACGATGAGTATAACCTTCCTATTGGTGCTCTTGGTATGGCTAGATTAGATCGTTTAAACCTACCTTATTTTCGTGTGTATTAATCTAGCTGTCTTGGTTTTATCCATGCTGTTTTCTTCTGTTGCTTGTTATGTTTCCCGTGTTGTGTTTCAGTATGGGGGGTCTCATTTTGTTTTTTTTTTTTGCTGCATTCCAGTCACTTTCTATTTATGTTTACCCTCTAAGGTTGGCTGCAATAATTCTTTTGGTAACCTGTTGGTGTTGTTTTGCACTGACGTCCTGAGGTTGGTTTTTCTTCTTATTTGCATTTTGTTCCCATCTGTTGTATGGGCTGTAAGTTTTAGCTTATGGTGCAGACTAATCTGTTTACCTGGATGTGGTTGGTGGTGGTTTGCAGTGACGTCCTTAGGCTGCTTTGTTTTTCTTGTTTACATTTTGTTTCCCTCTGTTGTATGGGCTGCAAGTTTTGGCTGTTGGTGGTTCTTTGTTATTTTAATTCTGTGCTTTGCTGGATTGATTTTTGGGTTAGAGGGTACCTTGATCACTCGGTTCTCCTTTTCTGGAGCCTGGTTGCTGGTGTGGCTAGCATGCAGACTTTTCTTTTTTGTTCTCTCTTGCTGGGTGGGAAGAAGCAATTTCATATTTTATTTATCTGTATTATGGAGGTGGTTTGGAAGTTTCACAATTATTTCTTTGGCCCGTATCCTGGGAACATTATTATTCTTCTGAGTTTGATGGAGTTCCGGTGTCACTCTAAGAATTGTGGGATTTCCATTTGGATGAATGGTTACATCTGCAATAGTTGGAGGGAGAATACCGATTATATGCTTTATGATGTTATTTTTCTACTGGAGGGTAATGTCTCTACCTTTTCTAGACCTTTTAAGTTGATTTTCTCGGTTAATTGTTTGGCCCTCCAGCATAGCCTGTTACTTTCTTATAACGGTACTCTATTCAGGCAGACTTACGGGTCTTTATTCTGTGATACTTGCGATCTTTCTTACTTGCTTATGCTGAGAGTTTTTTACAGGCCTATACTTGTTGATCAAGTGGGAATTTTAAAGAATTGCAAGGTACTCTTTATTTCTAGCTGTCTTCTTTTTCTGTAGTGTTCTACTTTTTTGCAGGAAGATTGTGCTGAATGCTGATTTATGGATCTTCCTTTTTTGGGTGCTGTCTACTTACAGCCCGAGCTTTTTCTTTTGTTATTTTTGTAATCTTAGTACAAGGAACCACCGGTTCTTAGGTTTTATTTCTTTTAATCTTGTAGCTCTTTGGAGAAGTAGAGGGCTGGAGGTTCCTTTGAAGGACTTTGTAACCGCTTTTTTCATATGAACGCGTAGGCCCCGCCGTGGGTTTTAATTAAAAAAAAAATAATCATACACATAAAATGAAGAATACCTGATGAGAGGAAAAATGGACCCAACAGTACCATCATCCAAGTGTAATGAAAGCTCAAATAGATAACCACACTAAAGATAAATAACCCCAGAACAAACAAACCAAACCATAAAAAAACATAAGTAAAAGATGAAGAAAATGCTCACCATAAAAGAACCTATAAAAAGAGAAAAGGTCAAAAACAATAAAAAAGAGAAAAAAAAAAAACAAAATGAAATAGATTAATTTTTGAAGTTAGGATTAACCAACTAATTCATTCTTGTCACACCTTTAAGAAAACAAGTGCAGGAATGTTTATGAAAATATATAATATTTAAAATTTTAGAACCAACCTTAGCCAACCAGCATGCATAGTTATTGCTTTCTATCTAAATGTGAGTCATTCTATAATTAATTTTATTCATCAAGGCAAAAATCTTAATACAACAACAACAACAACAATAACATCAAGCCTTTATCCGATTACGTGGGGTCGGCTACATGAATCCTTTTTCTCCATTGTATCCTATTAAAAGTCAAATACTCATTTAAATCTAATAAAGAAAGGTCATTCCTAATATTTTCTAACCAAGTCTTTTTAAGTCTACCCCTACCTTTCTTAACATAAGTCATATCTAATACCTCTACTCTCCTAACCGTGTCATCGGAAGGCTGCCATTTTATGTGACCAAACTATCTAAGGTGACTCTCTCTAATCTTATCTTCTACTGGAGCTACTTAACCTTTTCACGTATATGCTCATTTCGTATCCTATCTCTAAGGGTAAAGCCACTCATCCACCTGAGCATCCTCATCTCTGCCCACTTAACTTAGTATTATGCTTCTCTTTTAATGGCCAACATTCGACACCATAAAGCATTGCAGGCCTCACTACCATCTTATATAAGGCAAAAGTCTTAATGAAGAGATAAAATAAATTAGCGTTAATACATTTTTTAGACATGAGTAACAAAATTAGAAGTTTAGAATCCATTGTCGATCTAGACATTACTAATATTAAGCTAGTTCGATACACAATATGGCCCCTTAGTCAAGAGATGAAAGTTCAGCATAAATAGAATTACTGATAGAAATTCTCAAAGCAAACAATAAGAATATAACCATAATGATCACTTATAATGCCACCACAATCGAAACCATGTTTATTAATGGAGCCATAATATTAATCTTGCATTCTTGTAATTGAGGCTTAACCCATTTTACAATTTTTGGTAAAGTGATACACTTATTAGAATAAAGGTTAATATTAAAGAAGGTTGCCCATAAAATGTTGCCTCTAAAGCGATTGTGTCTAAGGACTTTAACATTATAAAGTTG